TGCATGGACATGGATTCAAAATAACATCAAAGTGCATGTAAAGGTTATGTTACTAAAATTAAGGCTTTGTGAAATGACAATGCAGTGAACTTTTGCAACATTGCCACACAGAGCTCTGTCAGAGTTTTACACAAAGCAGATCTGTGCTGAAGCATGTTGGTCTTTCTGCCTTGATCAGTGATTGGACGCAACCACTTCAAATGCACTGACTGGGAAAAGGAGGAAGGACATTATTATCATATTAGGAAAACACCTGTTGTCTGATTACCAGTCCATGCCTGATTACAATAAACGATAAACATGAGGACCATGAAGTAAACAACTGATGACCCTCTAGTCGTTACTCCAACTTGTCATATGATTTTTATTAATTAACTTCAAAGGCAGTAAAATGCCCTTCAATGTTTTAGATTCCTGTTATATTTTCTGGGTGAAATGTTCATAGCCTTTTTGTTTATAGCAGTAGTTTAACAGAGGCAGGGCGTATTCATAATGAGTTAGATGCTGTTAGGGAGTTTTATCATCATTATTACTAAAGAGATAAACATTATGCTGACAAAACTGTTCCTGTTTCCACACTGGGACAGACTGGGTTCAGTCATATCTGCTCTGTTTAAGGTGAATAAAGGAGATATTAGTACTGAAAATATTATTAAACTGTTTCACCTCATCAGCTTAATGATAAACAAATAAGAACCGGAGCGGCATTGAAAGCAAACGCTCTGATTTATCATGTGATGGCAGGAACACCTCATTGGTCAATAGTTTCGTTTCGGTACCGAGTTTCGTTTCCCAGGAAAGCGAAAGTAAAAAGTCACCGCTCTAGAAACGCTGAACCTGTATGGCAGGCCATTTCGACATTTTTTACCTTGACTCAATATATATTTCAGATGTCTCAAATGCATTTCTTCTTAGTCAAAATTACCATCTCAGATATCTAAAATAACATTCTTCCTATCTAAAATATACATTTCAGATATCTGAAATGTACAGATGACATTGCGTTTCCCATTCATGTGTATTGGGATTTTTCTTACAGATATCTAAAATAACATTCTTCCTAAAATAAACATTCTTTTTATCTAAAATGAATTCTGACTAGGATGAATTATAATTTCAGATCTATATAAAAGAGTTACTGCTAGTCAAAATTACTATTTTGGATATCAAAAATGAATATAATATTACAAATATCCAGAAATCTAATTCTTGACATCTAAAATATATTTATGCTAGTACAAATATTATTACAGATATCAACTACTTATTTTATGACTAGTTAAATTAGAATTCCAGATATCTCAATTATAATAAGGCCTATCAAAAATTTAGTTTAAGATACTTTCAAAAGAATAATTAACATAAAATCGGCAGGCTGACTAGTCACATTTCTATTAATAGATAGCACTAAAGCATTCTACCTTTCTCTCAGTAGAAATTATTACTCTGGAATCCAATTTGTACTAGTAAGAACTACAATTCAGATATCTACAAATCTTTACTTATTTTAAGTGGCCAATTAATATATATTTGTTTGTATTTCAGATATCTTTATTTCAGGTATTCCTCCTATCTAAAATAAACATCTCAGATAACTGAAATGTTATTCTTACAAGGAAAAATTATGTCACTTTCCCCATTCATGTGTATTGGGTCGTTAATTTCAGATATCAAGATGACATTACTCCTATCTGAAATACACATTCTGTCACATCTTGGTTGTGGTTTAGAGGACCCAAATGCAGAGGCAGAGAGGCTGAGGTGATTTCTTGTAGTTTTAATGATGAAAAGTGGTTAACAAAGGCAGGAATCCAACTAAAAATGTAAAACAGACCAGAACCATGGAGACATCAGGGGAAAACACGCACAAGGAGCCAGGGAGAGACGAGGTGAGCAGCGAACAGCGACGACAGGACCAGCAACGACAAGGAACCAACAAGGAGTGACCACAGAGGGAGAGTATATGTAGCTGACTGAGACAATGGCAGGGCTAACGAGCTGACAAGGAGCAGGTGTGAGGAGACCATGAGGGAGCCAAGGGGAAAGGAACACACACAAGAGGGCAACAGAGGAAAACAACAGAAAAACCCGAGAACTAACAAAAATCTAGAAACTACAACAAAATAAGAATTAAGCCAATAAAAATAGGAAACATGGAGCAAATTAAAGCACAACATAACCAAAACCATGACACATTCTGGATGTCTAAAAATGCATTGCAGACCTCCATGATCCATTTGTTACTGGTCATAATTTTTTATTTCAAAAATGCTTTAGTGCAATCTATAATGGAAATGTGACAAGTCAGCCTGCCTATTTTATCTTAAAGCGGAGCCTCCTTATTCTTTTGAATGTTAGTCAAAATATGTTTTCAAGTATCTAAAACTTTATTTTGGATAGACATTATTAAAATTTAGATATCTGAAATTCTAATTTAACTAGTCAAATTGTTGATATCTGTAATTATATTTCTACTAGTAGAAATATATTTTAGATGACAAGAATCAGATTTCTGGATATCTGTAACAGATAACATTACAGTTCTAATGTTATATTCATTTTTGATATCTGAAATAGTAATTTTGACTAGCAGTAACTCTAATATGGAGATCTGAAACTAGAATTCACCCTCGTCAGAATCCTTTTTTAGATAGGAAGAATGTTATTTTAGATATCTGGTAGTAAAATCCCAACACACATGAATGGGAAATGTGATGTCATCTGTACTAGTAAGAATTACATTTCAGATATGTGAAACATATATTTTAGATGGGAAGAATGTTATTTTGGATATATATGTACATTTCTGGCCAGTAGGAATGTAGTTTTGACAAGGACAACTAATGGAGCAATAGAGAGGACAGCGCTTCTAATAAATGTCAAAACGGCCTGCCATATGAGCGCGAGCTGCGGAGTAGCAGTCTGCATCTCAGCGACCGTCAGAAACTCCAGAACGACCAAAAAGCTTCATAGGAACAGAAGGCAGCGGGAAGATGAGGTGAGATCAGAGCTGTATAAACAAGATTTTTATTAGTCTGATTGTACTTTTTCTTCATCTGTTTTCTCTTCACTTTATCATGGTTCAGTATGTGAAAGGCGATTAAATTGTCTATTTTTAATTTCACCTCGGTAAATGTTTCTCAGGTAGATGTCAGGTTATATAATATTTTAATTGTCTGATAGAAGCCCAGCGAAAGTGGGTTTTAGCTTCTGGTTAGTCAGCATTCCGTCAGCAGCATGTTGTAACACAAGTCTCATAGCTCCAGCTGCTGTATGGACATTTCCTGTTATGCTTTTATTTTGGCGGGCTGCATCCTTTAAATTCCGGCTCTCTTATCTTAGTTTCTGCAACTTATTTAATTAATTTCATTTTTTCATTTTGATGGACCTACAGTTATTTAACCCGAACGCTTTCATAATAGGGTGAGCAAACATCAGTGGTGGCTGGTGAAAAATATTTTTGGTGGGGCGGATATAGCCTCGTGTATGTCTCCAACTAATCCGGAATAAGCATTCAAATAAACCATTGGAAATGAAATACAATTTAACAGTAATGATTTAATTTACTATATAATAACAGTAACAGTGATGATTTGGGTCACTGTGACGGGGTTCTTTGGCCTCCAAGAATCCAGGCTCAGTCGGGTTACCGGTGTTGGTGATTTATTGAGCTCAAAAACTCAAAACAGGGTGCAAAAGAAACTAAACATATACCATGTACTCTGGGCTTTAGCCTCCCTCCAGTTACCAGCAATGTAACAAAGAAACAGAAAACAAAAATGGCCGCTCTTCTTCCCACAGCCCTCATTAAATAGTTTAAGCCCCTACCCTCAGGCTCTCTTATTTCTGATTTCTTCTCATAAATCAGTTTTGTCCATATATTACCTCCAAAAACAATTGATGTACAAAAACAAATCATTTTTACAACTTAATTCCTTTACACAGGTTCATTGCCTTATTCAATTACACCAAACTGGGTTTGAACCCAGCAAAGACGCCGCCAGACTGAAGATGACAAGTCCCCGTAGCATAAACACGTACACACACACACACACACACACACTGCTAACCCCACTGAAATATTAAGTGTGCACCCTCAATACGCCAGCAGGTAACCAGGAACAGCTTGTGTGTTTTAAGTTAATGGAGCTACTGGGCTCAGCGCGACCGTATTGGTCCTCACAAGCACAGTATAACAGGGATGTGTGTGTGGCACGCAAAGTTAGAGGTTGTTTTAAGCGACGAGGTGGATTCGTCACACTCACAATAACCATGACATGAAATTTTCCTACCCTACAACAGGGATGTTCTTCTGGCAAACGGGTAGAATAATAAGGATCTCACCGAATTTGGTGGAAGCTGCATCTCGCTTGTTACGTTCGCCATCGTCCCTCTAATTGTCTGCACCTGTGCTTGGGTGCAGAAGCCTGTTAAGGGGCAGTATTTTCAGAGCCCCAAGACCATAAAATTCTGAGACGCTGATTGGCCATTAAATTCACCTAGCAATAGTACATGATTGGCAGATTCTCTGCAAATGTGGGGCAGTCTAATCAGAGCCCCAAGACAGAGACGGTAGGAGTCTGTCTGTGGAAATCCACAAATTAATGACAGTAGATAGGGAAATATAGTTTATATAATTTGTTTTGCTTATAGGTACACACTCTAGAGAGTACAACTGACATTTATGAGTTAATTTCTAAAAATATATTTTACGTTTCTTCTTATCAGGGAGGGCGGTGTCCCAGCGCCCCCTATGGGCCGGCCGCCACTGCCAAACATCCCCTTTTTTCCGGACATACCCTAGTTTTCATGCCTAAAAAAATGTCCGGGAAGATTTTAAAATCGTCAGAGATTTTGGTTGACTACTGTGCAGCAGAACCGAGCCGTCAGCACCACGGTGAAGTTGGTTTGATATGGGGCCAAAATGGTAGCTTTAATATTTGCAAATGTGTGTGGAGAGTTGTGTGTCTGTATCTCTGCAAAGACAAAGGCTGGCAAGCATGGCTGTTTCCAGTGGAGGTCGGATGCAGAGGATTCCCAGCACAGTCAATGTGGTCTGTGCTCACTGCACTTGGAATATCTGGCAAGGAGAGGAAGACAGCTGTGCGCAGGATTGGGGAGGCAGCAGAGAGAGCCTCATGCTGGTTGTGGTTTAAGAGGGAGGAGGGGGGCTGGAGGCCTGGAGATGATGGGCAGTGACCTGGCCACCACTGCTGACCCGCCAGCTGGAGGGTGTAGCGGTTAAGGGTCGAAACACCCTGTGAAGGTTGGGCACCGTCTGATGACATCAACTCCAGGCCAAAAACCACCCACAGTCACATTAGGGAGTGACTGTATGTTAGCATCACATGATGTATTCAATAAGTCGATTTGTGTGTGTGCAGTGGGATTTGAAAATGTGTAAATAAATCTGTAAATGTGTGAGGAGATTTGTGTGTCTGTACAACAATCTGCAAATGTGTAAAACTACTTGTGTGTAATCCGTTTTGCAAATGTGTAAAAAATCCACAAATCTGTATTCAGATCTGCAAATGTGTACTGAGATTTGCAAATGTGTAAAAAAATCCACAAATCTGTATTCAGATCTGCAAATGTGTACTGAGACTTGCAAATGTGTAGATCAATCTGTAAGCACACACAGAGACACTTGTGTCTGAAGTATTTTCGCTTCAAGACCCAGAAATACAGACAAATCATTGGTTACAAGTCAAGCGGTTTTTCGGTTGGCTCTCTTTACACACGTGATTTTTGCTACTCTTCTGCCGCGTGAGATGCACAAAGGCGTAGAAGGATTTGTATGTGTATTTTCGCGATTTGTAACCCCTTGCGCAGGCTCACAGGCTCACAGACAGCCTCTCTCTGCTGCGACAGTTCAGCACAACTTGCTTCACATACAGCCACATACCACCAGTTGGCGGTATTGTACAGTACGTGACGTTACTGGGGTCCTAGGGGTTGTACCTGCTAAGTTGAGAGCAATGGAATCCCGTCAGCTTTCTGTAAGTATATTTCTTTAATTTTTTCTATAGTTTGCATTAGTAAAACTGTTTCTTCTTCTGCTTCTGTTTTATGGCGGTTGGCAAGCAACTTTATGATGTGCATTACCACCATCTACTTCAGTGGAGTGTGGATCGGGATGCTATGTATTTTCCCACTGAAAAATAAAAATAAATATTAACAATATTTACATAAATAAACTTATATCCTTTCCACCAATTTCGTTTTTTCAAGATTGTTTATCAAATTACAAAAATAATCATAAGTAGATTTTTTTCCCCCAAAATATCTTGTATATTTAACTGTAATTTATTTTCTTGTAACCCTTCTCTCCATAGAATATTTAAAACAAAACAACAAAACATGCTCCACCGTCTCCCCTTGATAACAAAAACCACAACCTCCTGTTCCCATTCTAAATAAGTTTCCATTTAACCCCGTGTTTCCGAAACTTAATCTAGATATAACCTCTTTTTTATTCCTTTCCGTTCTCCTCATTTCACCAATTTTCCTTTGAATACTCTAAAGCCAACTTCCAGTTCTATGCTCTTCCCACAGCTTCTGCCATCTTTCCGTAACCTTTTGTTTAATAATAGATTAAATTTTTTCCTTACTGAATGGTATCAATATATCATCCTTGTCACATCAACTCCCGCAGCGGAGGAAAAAAAAAAGGTAGAGGCTGTCTGTGAGCCTGCGGTCAGGGCAGCATGTGAGCCTGCGAGCCTGCGCAAGGGGTTACAAATCGCGAAAATACACATACAAATCCTTCTACGCATTTGTGCATCTCACGCGGCAGAAGAGTAGCAAAAATCACGTGTGTAAAGAGAGCCAACCAAAAAACCACTTGACTTGTAACCAATGATTTGTCTGTATTTCTGGGTCTTGAAGCGAAAATACTTCAGACACAAGTGTCTCTGTGTGTGCTTACAGATTGATCTACACATTTGCAAGTCTCAGTACACATTTGCAGATCTGAATACAGATTTGTGGATTTTTTACACATTTGCAAATCTCAGTACACATTTGCAGATCTGAATACAGATTTGTGGATTTTTTACACATTTGCAAAACGGATTACACACAAGTAGTTTTACACATTTGCAGATTGTTGTACAGACACACAAATCTCCTCACACATTTACAGATTTATTTACACATTTTCAAATCCCACTGCACACACACACATCGAGATACAGACACACAACTCTCCACACACATTTGCAAATATTAAAGCTACCATTTTGGCCCCATAGTTTGAAGCTGGATAATCAATCTCCGCGGAGTCAGCTGGATTTAACAAACGGTCGATCCGTGTCGGCCAGCGTCTCTCAGCTGCTCCCTCCTCTTACACGAGGTGGTGCATTTAGGGACGTCAACAAACCAAGAACTCTTAGGAAACATAAATCAATAAATTCCTTATCTTTGGACCAGCTAAGACCAAACTAATATAAAATCATGCCAATAGATAACAAGTAAGGCACACTTGCTTTTATGCAATTTTATGCTATTTTAAATTTTTAAGATATTTTTAAAGGCAAAAGTTGGGACTTTTCTTCAATAGCTTCCAGGTAATGTGACCCACTGACTCCAAAGCTACGTCAAATTGTTCTTCTACTTTAGCCTGATGAGGCACACTCATTTTTATTCCATTTTAAGCCTTTGTATATTTTTGCCTTCGCTGACTGAGTTTCAAGGAGAAGGAACCAGAGATACAAAAGGAAATTGTAAAAGGCGGCTCCATCCAGGAAACACACAGCCAGGCAGATGAGCTCTGAGCCAACTCCCATGTCAGAGGATAAAGAGAGCACATCCAGTCAGTCACAGTCAGAGAAACAGGACTACACTGGAAAACAGGCCGATCTCCAACATCTATAAACAAAGGTGTTGATGGCAGCTGCACAGCTTTCCCAATAAATGGCTACTGTCTCGCCCCACCTACTTCTCACTTCATTTGCGTAAACCTCCAGAGGGTCGGCCATATTTAGCCCCATCTGAAAGCAATTAGGTATGAGTGTGAGTGGTTTATGAGGCCTTCCACAGAAAGTGAGGACCTGTTTCCCGCTCATGCAGCAGGTGCAGCACCAAATTGTGGTCGGCATGGAGAACAGGACATGACTTCTGCATATGCATTTTATACATTTACTGAGGAGAGAAACACCTCACCAACAAATATCACTTCAAATAGGCTGTATGAATCATTTTGTGAAAGTTAGAATTGTTATGAAAAGTTATCACAGTTTGTCACAAATAAAGTCATAACTGAAAACTCTCAAATGTGCGTCAAATTAAATGTTTCCTGGCATCTGTTAAAGTAGCCTTTATATAATCATTTATCCCTGCAGGGTGCAAAGGTTAAACTCAACAGCACATATTGATTCAACTGTTCATGCAGCAGTATTAATGCACATTAGGTGTGTGCAGGACCGTAGCAAGAGTTTAGAAACTACTGAGGTCCGCTAAACTTTTTCATAAAAGAAAATAAATATACAAACAAGTACTTTATTAACTAATACACATATTTTATAGGTAAACTTTAATAAAAGATGGATTCATTTAATGAATAGAATTATTAACTGTTATCAAAACCAAACATCCTTCACATCTGTACAACTTCTAAAAACTCATCTGAATTTACAGATGCTGCTGTAGATAGAAAATCCTTTTAATTAGGACAATAAAATAAGATGAAATTGGGGCAGTTTCTTATATCTTTGTTGCTTTTGCATTCACTATTTTGAGAGACATTTCCATGCTGCCACCTGTAGCCCAACCACAGAACTGCAGCCCTCACTCTTCTTATTCTTGTAGCTCGAGTGTGTAGAAAACAAGGATTTTTCATTTACTCTATTTTTTTTTTACCTTCGTCGCCTCATGTGAGGTCGCTATTGTTTTCAGAGTTGAGCTTAATGCTGGACACTTCTGAGGATCCACAAAACCCACCTGGATTATAACGCTTTGATTGTTTTCTAGATTGGACCCGTTCAATGTGGACATGCTTGACGTCAAATTCGCAGAAACAGTAATCCTTTTGGGTTACATAAAGTATATTTAATTTTATCTTTTGCATATAAACACTTCTTTTGATTATTTGTTTTTTTTCTCTTTGATTATTTGTATTGCCACGAAAATGCAGCTTTCTTTTGCATTGGACAGAAATGTGCTACATAAATAAACTTGCTGTGTCTTACAAAGGGCCTGGAAGTTAATTAAGAGAGGTCTTTGTTTGGCGTTTATAGTGAAAAAGACTGTTAAATGGCTAGCGCCATCCGTCCGTCTATCCATCCATCCATCCGTCCATCCATCCGTCCGTCTATCCATCCATCTTCTCATCAACTCTGAGCAGCTCTTCTGTTCTTGCTTAAGAATAGCATCCCCACATGATGATGGTGCCACCACAGGGATGGCATGATTAGTTTTTAGTAATTGTTAGTTCCAACTACATAAAGATCCTGAGTTCACAAAAAAAGGGTCTAAAGTAAGTGGGTGGGGGAACAAAGGCATTTGCAATAAGTGATTGTGTTGTGGGTGAAGGACAAAAATGGCAAGTGAACTGATTCTGCTCCATTGATATAAAAAAATAATGTGTGATACAACCAGAATTTGAGTGTCTGCAAAGAACGATAAAGTTCTTACCAATGAACATGGAAGAAACATTTAAAATGATTTAAAAGTCAATAATAACAATAAATAATGTACATTGCATGTAACATGAGTATACATGCTACAAATAAAAGTAAAAACTGTGCTGGTAGACATGTGCAAACACGCAGCATTGTGCAAGAAGAACAGCAAACACATGTATTATGCAAACTTCTAAACAGCAGAAAAAACAAATACAAAGAAAATGCTGCCATTTAAAAATGCAGAAACCCCTGAAATTAGAAGCCAAATCTAACAGTCAACAAAAACATCTATAGAAAATGTTGTCTTTTTCTGCTCCTACACCTGCCTTTAAAACACACTAATTAAAGATGAAACAGCTGGACCTGCTTTCAGGTTTCATAAGTCGCTTAGCAGTTGCTATTTACATTTGTTCATCAGAATGTTTGATGGTCCTGAAGGCACACGCAGAAGAAAGTTTGAGCACATAAATCACTTTGAACATTATATAAACATGTTGTTTGGATGAAAATATATTTGGATGTCTTATAATACACTGAATTCTTTTGAAGATCAGTTTATAAGTTTTTCCATGAGGTCCAGAGCTCCTTCTTTCACCTGTTTGCTTTTCTCCTGGTTTAGACTGAAACCTAGAAGATGAAAACCCTCCTTCTCCTTACAGCTTGGTTCCACTATGTGTTGGTTTGTCAAATGAAATACCCAGAAAACTTTAATTATTTTGCTTTCAACATGAGTCTAGAGCTGATGATGATTTTTTTAATCTCTGGAACATTTTACAGTCAGTATCAAGCTTTGTTTTGATTCCAAAAGACTTTTCAGCCAAAGCACAATTTTACCTGATTGCTGATTTCAAATATCATGACATCAGCGGATTGTACAGAAAATCTTCTAATCATAAAACCATGTGACTAAAAACCTGGAGCAGGATCAGAGCTTCAGATTAGAGACTGACATTTTTTCGGGAATCCCACGGGTCACGGGATTCCTGTGGGATTCCCGTGGGATGGGAGTCAGTATTAGTAACGATCACGGGATTGGGACGGTACAGGATTAAACATTAACGGGAGCAGATGGGAGCGGGAGCAAACCAATAGTAACTTCCGCTCTGAGTTTTTCACCCGCGCTCAAAAACAACAAGAATGGGAGTGGTGCAGGAGCGGGAGTCATTCTGAATGGGAGCGGGATGGGAGTGGGAGTAATTTCACCAGGAGTGGGACGGGACAGGATTTAGATTTCTACTCTGGCCCGGGATCGGGACGGGACACCATTTTTTTCTGTGGGAGTGGGACGGGACAGGAGTGAAAATCCACTCCCGTGTCAGTCTCTACTTCAGATGCTGGAAATGACAGAAATAACCAAGAGCTACATTAAATAAAAGCCTGGATGTTCCAGGAACAATGAAACTGATCTTTTTACTACATTTCTTTTCCTGTGACCCACAATATGTGACATTTCTGCTGCTGCAGGTTAATATCTGTCATGTTCATTGTCTCATCAGTTCTGCTCAGAGTCTGGAGAACAAACTGGGAGCCCTGCAGTGCCATTTCACCTGGAACCTTGATCCTGGAAGTTGCAGACTTACTGTTATACAGAGTATTGTGGAGGACATCGGCACAGAGGAGGGAAACGTCTGGCTCGGTCACATCTACAACCTGCAGGGATTCATCCAGTACAAGCTGGGCTCCTCTGAAGAGGCCCTGATCTTCTTTAGCCAAGCCACTGAGACCTTCAAACGTCTTAAAAACTCTGATGAAGGTCCCTGGTTGATGGTGAACTTTGGGAATCTGGCTTGGCTGCACCATCTTATGGGTAAAGATGAGAAAACTCAGGATTACCTGTCAAAGATTGAAGCTCTAATGAGAAAATACCCAGCTCCAACTAAAGAAGAGCTCCACCCAGAGGTCTGTGCTGAGAAGGCCTGGACCCTGATGAGGTTTGACAAAGAGAAGGCTGCCGAGCTCTTCCAGAGAGCCATAGAAATGCAGCCAGAAAACGTGGAATGGCAGAGCAGCTGGGCCATATTATCAACACATACGTTCAAACTTTACATGAAAGACAGGACTCCCAATGTCTTGGAAAAAGTTAGATCTGCCACAGAAGGAGATCCAGACAACTTATATGTTGCTGCTCTTTATCTGGAGGCACGAGCTGCAAAAGGAGAACAAATTCAGAATGAAGCTCAAGCATTGGCTGAAAGGGTACTAAAGAGGTCTCCAAGCAGTTACAATGGAATGAGACCATTACTGCGTCTTTACAGGAATTATATATCTAAAGATGCAGAACTTGAATTAGCTGAAGAGGCCCTAAGGAGACATCCTGACTCACGTTATTTAAAGAGAATTGTTTCCTCCTGTTTGACTAAAAGGATTCTTTCTCCAGACTACAATCCTCCAGTCAGAGAAATCAATAGAGCAATCAAACTTCAGAGGGAAGTGATTGATTCTTATGGTGAATCTAATCCTAGAGATCAACTAAATTTAGCAAAGTTATTAGCAAAGGCAGGAAAGCCGGAAGCTAATAAGATTTATAAAGAGCTACTGGATAGAAAAGACCTCGATTTAGCAGAAAAACAGATGCTTTACAATTCTTATGCAAAATATTCATTCTTCAATAAGAAGGATAGTCGTGGGTCTTTAAAGTACCACATGATGGCAGCAGAGATCCCAATAGAATCCAAGTATCGAGAGACAAGCGTCACAGAGCTAAAGAAGACCTTGGACAGAATCAAAGACCGTGAAATTTGTGAACGGATCAAAAAGCTTCTGACTGGCCTGTAAAATCAGCCTGAAACACAGAATCAGTGAATTCTAGAAAAGCAATCTGAGAGCGCAGACCTCTGCAAGCAGCACATTTTGAACCAAATTGTGACTTACACATACAGCTAAAACTTGAATAGGATCTGGATCATTGGCAATTTTTAATGATTTGTTCCATAAAATATGTTCTCAAGCTTGCAATTGATCCTGCTAATAAACAAAGTTTTTTTTCTCAATAAAATGCCTCTGGACATTTCGATTCCAATGCTGAGGCTGTCAATAGTCACTGCTGCCACTCTCTGGTTTAGTGGGGAACTACTGTTCCACCAAAAACCCCACAATGTTGGAGAATCTTAAATAAAAAAATCCTGTATCCAGATTATGATGTGGATCATCACCAACCTTTGATAGATTGTTACTTTGCATGAGGGACACCTCTGATAAAGACTCATTTCAAATCCGTCTATAACTCTTCAAATAATCCTGACACACAAAGACACACAAACTCTCCTTAAAAGATAACTTCCTTGGCAGAGGTTATTAAGGAAATCACAACCTACAGGTAGATCTGCAGCCAGATGTAGTTCTGCAGTGTTCATACTCAGGCCTTTTGAATTCTAAGATGCATTATTTAGAATACAATTAAAAGATTTACTGCAGGTTCTTTTTTTTTCAAAGCTTATAAATTATTTATTTAAAATGTTGAAATACATTGATAATTTTCAATATCAATTCAGTTCAATATCATATTATATTATAACTGAAATCCCCATCAAATAAACAAGGAAATAATCTGTCACTGAGAACAACATGACTGAAAATTTTGAAAAATTAAATCTGAAGCAAGTTCATAGAAATTGAGAAAAATAATAGAAATCTGCAGAAAATAATATTGAGCGAGGACTTAGTGATGAAACATCTTGAAGATGGTTGTTGATATATTAGGCACAAGTGGATGATAGTTGAAACCTAAAATCTTTACAAGCTTGAGCTGTTTTTGTGTCCACCCATTTCTTCCCTGTTTAAAGCTCTCTGTCTGCATTTTCATTGCTTTTCCTCCTCAGTTCTTTAAACCAGTGATTTTCAATGCTGGTCCTCAAGTACCATTGCCTTGCATGTTTTAGAATTAAAGTCGGGTGTGAGAATAATTAACAGGCTTCTGCGGCACTTGTAGTCCCACTCCCAAACCGGCCCCTAAGCACTAACCCTCCGTTTGCAGGTTCCCATGGAGGGTCTACCACATTAAGTAGGATAAGTGGAGCATTCAGCCCTTAAATAGCGAGGCTCGAAATTTGGCAGCAGGTGTAACAGTGGCTTGATGGTGTAGGAAACGTTTGCATTTAAATGTAAGTTCCACCGGTTTGCTGCATCTTCATCACACATCTTCATCATAAGTTAGGTATAAGAAGAAAAAAAAACTGATTAATTCCAAAATGGAATGTCCTCTTAAATAGTAGAATTTGACCATGTACATTTGTTTTAAGAAAGGGGCAAATTTTATATTTTATGTCACCCTACGCCACAGATCTCTATTTATTCACTGGATTGCTGATAGCTCGAAAAAAGTTAAGTCACCTGCCGCCATCTTGGTACTCCCCACTCTCAAGGAGATGCGCTATAAAAATGCCTACATAGTAACCTTTGGCTGCAAAAACAAGCAGTTTTCTGGCTGTGGGAAGATATTTCACAGGTCATTTTACAGTCAGTGGATGTACAAACCATATATACGTCGATCTATATATTTCCTGTAGTATAGTATGTAGCTTAACATTAGGTTTACTATCTCGGACCGACTCGAATATATTTACTGAGTTAGCATTGACATTGTGTCTAACGTAAGAAAATAGAAAGTAGAGTAAATAGAAAGTAATTCACTGAAATATCAATGTAGTCATTTCTGATTGAATGGGTGATGCTGGTGAAGTTTTTGTAGTGTTTGGTGTATTTCTCATTTGAAAAAGTCAATTGCTGAAATATATTGCATGTTATACTGACGAATAAAGGTATATATATGTATATTTGAATGTGAATTAACACTACATGTGTAAGTTACATTATTAAAGGTATTCAGTCACTGGATAGTGTATGTGTTTGTGTGTGCCTGTTATTTTGCAAATTTATTTGACTTTGTGTAGAAAGTAAAGCTCTCTGAAGTTATTAAAATGGTTCAGTAATTTAGCTCTATTGTCAATCTATGTCAGATTTAAAGGCTAATGCACAGACACAGCAGCAAAGTATATAGCATCATTCACAATTTGCAAATAGACAAATACTATAGCATTAACAGACATGAACTCAATTCAGTCTTGAAATTGATATGCATTAAGTAAACCATGACAGTGTAATCAATAGATTTATATTACATCATCAATTTAGCACTTTTGGCACATCTGTATTATTATGCTCAATTAACATATACATTTTCAATCTGAAAAAAACTCACACAAAGAGAAAAGACAACTAGGAACAATTTATTGATACAATTACATCGTCTTTGGCTCTCAGACCTCCACAGGAAACATAGCGCTTTATTTTGATAGATATGCATGAACAGGAGCAAAGAATAGGGCTGTTTCCCCCCAAGCTTGAAACTGGTAGTGGAGTGGAGATAGATGAAGTTTGTCAGTCTTTAGACTGCTGATTAGCGAGACGGTATGCTGAGCTTTATGGGGAGATCCAGTGGACTGCGTGAGCTGACACTAGAGCTTCACTCAGGGACCTGGAAGATGGAAGTCCAGTTTGGATAACACAAACAAGCCGACACCCCTGACCCCGAAGCCTCCTGCCTGTCTCTGGCTGAAACTCAGCGCTCTGGTTGTTCTCGTTACCAGGTTAGTCCTTTGTCAACTCCTCAGTTCTAACCTTCCACTGCAGCCTTTTATCTGTCCCTCGACCTCTAGGACGTTCCAGCCTGTTATCGAGAGTTGCACAATCGAGACCCAGCGCTGTTTGTACTCTGCTGTTTCAATAAATCCTTTAAACGTCACTGACCTGTCGTGGTTGAATCTTGGGTCCGAATACAGTACCTTACAATTGTATCACTAAATTAATGATAACTGATAAGAAACCTTGCTGATGTAGGTTCTCAGTCATCCAGGTCATAGTCATTCCGTAAAAATTCAAAAAATATCCACTGGACTTGGTTTTCAAGATTTGAAGACGTTTCGCCACCTCTCCAGGATGCTTTCTCAATTCAAATAAGAAACCTTCTTAAACATATATTTTTAAGGCTCAGCCGAGGTGTGTTTAGTAAAGGTAAATATACATAAATATGATGGTTTGAATTATTATTGTATGACTAATTCACTTTAACTTGTAACTGTATTTTAGGAAAGTAAATAAAAAGCAAACCAAAGGATGATCTCCCAGGTTCCTGAGTCCTTGTGTATTTTATCTTTCCACAGAAACATGGTGAATGGAACCTGGGGTCCAAAACTGCAGTCCAAGCACATACATTACTTGGAGCTGAAGGCTGTTAACCTAGCATTAAAGCATTTTATTCCCATCCTGAGAGCTCACCATGTGCTGATCAGAACAGACAACACAACAGTGGTGGCTTATATCAACAGGCAGGGGGGGCTGAGATCACTAAGGCTCCACACGCTGGCTCACAAACTAATCATTTGGAGCAGCAGACATTCCCTGTCTTTGAGGGCCACCCATGTACAGGGAGTGTTGAACTGTGGAGCAGATCTTCTCTCCAGGGTTAATCCCATGTATGCGGAGTAGAAACTCCACCCAGATGTGGTGAGGATGGTCTGGCAGCGGTTCGGTCAACCATCCGTGGACCTTTTTGCTTCTCAAGAGAACAATCAGTGTCCCCTGTTCTTCTCCCTGCATGATCGGAACCCACCTCTGGGGGTAGATGCGCTAGCCCACCACTGGCCTCACACTCTGCTGTATGCGTTTCCCCCAATAGCTCTCATTTCACCTACACTAGCCAGGGTACGAGCAGAGGGTCATACAATGATCCTCATCGCACCCAATTGGCCAGCGAAGCATTGGTTAGCAGAGATAACACAGCTCCTCTGGCAGGAACCATGGTCACTCCCTGTACGCAGGGATCTGCTGTCTCAGGCACGAGGACAGATTTTTCACCCCCACCCAGAAAGACTGGCTCTATGGGCCTGGCCTGTGAGTAGTTTAGCCTACAATCGGTAGGGCTTCCACAAAATATTATTGAGACGATACAGGATGCTAGGGCTCCTGCAACACGATCTCTGTATGGGTATAAATGGTCAGTTTTTGAAAAATGGTGCTCAGAGATGCAAGATGTACCTTTTCAGTGTTCTCTGGCTGTGATTTTAGCTTTCCTACAGAGCCTGATTGATAAAGGGAAAGCTTTTTCCACTATTAAGGTCTACTTGGTGGAGATCTCGGCCTGCCACATAGGCTTTGAGGGAAGAACCGTTGGCCAACATCCCTTGATGTGCGGCTTTATGCAGGGAGCTCGAAGGAAGCTCCCTGTTTCAAGACCAATTGCTCCATCGTGGGATCTACCCCTGGTGTTGCTGCTCTTACTGCCACACCCTATGAACCACTGGATCAGGTGGAATTAAAGGTAGTAGCTCTAAAAACAGCGCTATAATGGCACTGGTCTCTGCAAAGCGCATGGGCGAAATTCACGCTTTATCAGTGCATCCATCTTGCATGAAATTTTCTTTAGATGGGACCAGAGTAGTTTTGCTTCCCAGCCCAGCTTTTGAGCCTAAAGTGTTGGGGTCATATTCTCGCATTGAGTTGATGGCCTTCCATCCTCCCCCTTTTTCATCACAGGAACAGGAAAGGCTACACAGTTTCTGTCCTGGGCGCGCTTTACAGATTTATGTGAAGAGGACCATTCAGGTCAGGAAGAGTGACCAGTTGTTTGTCTCCTGGGCTAAAAATCATTATGGAAAAGCTGTTTCCAAACAGCGGCTTGCACATTGGATAACTGATGCAATTTCTTTGGCCTATAGTTCAAAAGGACATCATTCTCTAGAGGGCCTGCATGCCCACTCTCCTAGGGGCTTAAGCTCTTCTCCATGGGCTCTACTCAGAGGAGTATCCCTGCAAAAGATTTGTGCGGCAGCAAGCTGGGCGTCATCTCACACGTTTACTCGGCTTTACAAACTGGATGTCACAGCTCCATCACTGGCGCATTCAGTTCTAAGCGTAACACCAAGCACGGAGCAAAAATAATATACATATATATGTATATATATATAAATATATATATATATATATATATATATATATATATATATATATATATATATATATATATATATATATATATATATATATATATATTTAAATACATATAAATAAATGATAATGGAGACAGCAGGCACATAATGTGGGATCTGCTGAGCAATACGAGATATCTTTCGTTCCCAATGTGAGACATGAAACGAATGCTTTGAAAGAGAACTTTAGGTTACTTTTGTAACCCCGATTCTCTGAGTAGCATGAGTGAGTGTCTCACCAAACCACCCTCCTTGCTCTAACGTTGCAAGGAAGAGGTGGTCATTCTTTTGAATAACTGGAAGCACAGTGTCAGCCCTTGTCCTGTCTGACACTGAAAGGCTTATTTTCCACCCAATCCTGGCTGGCATAATGTGAAAGGAGCTTCTGATGAGGTCACGCTGGAGGTGTTCCCAATGTGAGACACTCACTCATGCTACTCAGAGAACCGGGGTTACGAAAGTAACCTAAAGTTTAAAACTTGTGGAAACAAAATGACAAATACATCTGTCTAAGTCTAGTCTCAGTCTAAGCCCTGAAATATCAGAAGGGTCATAGAGATGTCAACATATCAGTCTTTGACATCTGACTGAAACACATAAGTTAAAGGTTTCTGTTTGGCTTCAAGTTAAAAGGAAAAAGCTCACATTTTTTATCCAATACGAGAAAAGGCTCCAATAAGTAAAAATCAGTTTTTCAGTCAAGCAGAAATACAAACTGTTTTGTTTTTATCTTCTAAGTTGCAGAAGTTTACTGTTTCCTGGTAGAGCTCAGCAATAAAAGTTATGTGTTTCCATGATAGTAATTTTCCTGACCTACTTATAAAAGCATTAAACTATGAACAGACGCACATATCTAATCAGAAACTCTGTCACGTTCTCTGTGATTATTTTGTTGGGAATCAATCTCTTAGTGACAGTTTGATTTCTGTTAGTTTCCATTTAGTGAGAAACAAGAGTTTGTACCTTCAGCTTAAGGTCATTAACACCGAGGACTGTGATAAAAAAAATTTTATGGTGCTGCACCTCAGAGAATATAAGAGAGCAAAGCCTGAGGAAGCTTTAATCATCAGAGACACCAAAAAGCTGGAGGATGTGGTGAGTCGCTCTTTTTGCTGCATTTACTTGCACCGATTTTTAATCATTGATTATAACCTTTATACAGGATTATCAACAGAAGCAGATCAGTTTCTATTTAAAGTTCTCTTAAAAACATCTGTCTGCTCACCGTACCAATGTTGATCTTTTCTCGGACAGAAACATATGACTGGAACAGACCCGCCTGAAGAAACAAATGAAAGTCGGGCATTTCATGTTTTCAGGGGGGCACACTCTTTCAACAAACTCTTTTTCTCGTTCTTAAAAATGACTCTGGGACTACTCCTACGCTTATTGAATGAAATCTATCAATAAAATATCAATATAAAGATTTCAGGTAAAAAGAATTTATGTAGTGAAGTGTCTATTCTATTCACTCAAAAGCTGAGAATCTGTAAAAATGCATACATTGATAAACATGAACACTGATGTCAGGCTGAAATAATAATTCATACTAGTAGAGCTCACACAATACTTTACTCAGTTACATTTACTTGAGTAACTTTTTAGAAAAAGTACTTTTAGGAGTAGTTTTAGAGCATTGCCCTTTTTACTTTTACGCAAATTAAAACAATGATAAAGTTTCACTACTCTTACATACGATAAAGTTGATTTTACAAATTCATAGACTTACAGATCTTTCATTCAACCTATTTCCACCTATTACACCATTTATTGTGTGATCAGGGTATGTAATATTTAAATTTTTATCTTAGTTGAAACACCAGAATTTGTACACCAAGAAATATTTTGTGCAATTTTTCACCCTTAGTAAAATATATAATCAGTTTTTACACTGGTGACTGAAGCAGACAAAGACTTTTCTGCTCTAGTTATTGAATTTTGACAGTTTTTATGGGTCCTTAACAAAAAAAAAGTTTTTTTTTTGTATTCCTGGTTCTTAATTAAGACCTTAAGTTCAAGAATGGTTAAACACATTTTTTGACCTCTTTTATTTTTTGACCTGTTACACACAAGTAACATTTCTACTGCTGCAGGTTAATTTCTGTCATGTTTATTGTCTCGTCAGTTCTAATCTGAGTCTGAAGAACAAACTGGAGGCCCTGCAGTGCCATTTCAACTGGGACCTCAATCCTGGAATTGAGAGACTTACTATTATACTGCACACCCTGGAGGACATCGACACAGAGGAGGGAAATTTCTGGCTGGGTCACATCTACAACCTGCAGGGATTCCTCCAGTACAAGCTAGGCTCCTCTGAAAAGGCCCTGAGCATCTGCAGCCGAGCCACTAAGACCTTCCAGCAGCTTAAAAACTCTGATGAAGGTCCCTGGTTGATGGTGAACTTTGGGAATCTGGCTTGGCTGCACCATCTTATGGGTGAAGATGAGAAGAGTCAGGATTATCTGTCAAAGGTTGAAGCTCTGATGAGTAAATACCCGGCTCCATCTGAGCGAGAGCTCCACCCAGAGGTCTGTGCTGAGAAGGCCTGGGCCCTGATGAGGTTTGACAAGGAGAAGGCTGCCGAGCTCTTCCAGAGAGCCATAGAAATGCAGCCAGAAAACATAGAATGGCAGAGCAGCTGTGTGATATTATCAGCAGAGGCCTTCTGGGGCAACATGAAAAAAATGACTCCTGATGTCCTGGAGAAACTGAGATCTGCCACAGAACAAGATCCAGAAAACCTATTTGTGGCTGTTCTTTATTTGGAGGCACGAGCTGCAAAAGGAGAACAAATTCGGAATGAAGCTATAAGATTGGCTGAAAAGGTCCTGCAGAGGTCTACAAGCCGTTACAATGGCATCACCCCACTACTACGTCTGTACAGAAATTATATGTCTAAAGATGAAGCTATTGAGTTAGCTGAGGAGGCCCTGAAGAGACATCCTGACTCACGTGTTTTAAAGAGATGTGCAGCTATCTGCTACGTGAAGAAGATTTTTTCTCCAGGCTTCGATCCCAATACTTCAAGAAGAACAATCACTCGAGCCATCACTCTCTGGGAGGAAATGTTGGAGCTCTATGGGGAATCTAAACTTAAAGACCAAATAACTCTAAAAAATCTATACGCAAAGTTAGATGAGATTAAAAATGAATCCAGTTAGTCGACAGAACTGGAGAATCCCTCAAAACTCAAGTCAGACTCAGAAATAACCAGAAGAATCATACATTTCATAGCATCCTGGGAAATCACAATATATTCCTGCTTTGTTTTGTTATTTACTGTTGAAAAATCCGGGTGAACACAAAGATCATTTATTTCACTGCTGGATTTTTTTATATTTAAAATATATAGTGGGACATATATTTTGTTGTTCTTCTCAAATTGTTGAGATGGTTTTGAGGACTTGACCCAAAGCAGCAGTTCCGGTTTTTAAAAAGACAAATAAAGTATAAAATAATTTCCCCATTACAATGCATTAATTATTTTTTCTCTTTATTACTTCTCTTGGTAGTGATTTTGCAACATTTATTGCTTTCATAATCTTCAATTTAAAAAAACAAAGAGGGAAAGAAGCTGACCTTTTGTCTCTTGAAGTCAACAAAATTGCTCCTTTAATTGAGAGAAATATCTACAATAAAGGTTGCCTCTTTTTGAATGCACATCTTTTAGTCTTTTTTTTGGATGGTTATTGGCCTTTTCTAACTTTCAGAATAAAAGATGACTGATGATATCACTGTTTAGAATAATACCAATGCAACTGATGTTTCCATTCTAAGGTCACCTGTTTTACCAGGTGTAAAAGAGAATAAATGTGCTGCCACAGAAAGATCAGACCAAGTAATCATAAAGGTTCTTAGAACACCACTGTGGTAGATGAAATCGTCCTTTATTTTGGGGTGCCGTGGAAGGGATATGGTAAGTTATACAGAAATGCTGAGTTGCATCTGTATTATTTTTCCAGATGGTGAGTTTACATCTGAATCAAGGTGCCCTTCTTGGTCAGCAAATGAACACAAAGATGTAGATGACTTTTACTTAATTTTAGGTGCCAGTGTCCTTAGTTATTACCCAAAAGGGAGTTTCTAAAATTCTATTTGCAGACGGACTCCAACCTGAAACTCTGTTGTTGATAACACAGCATATACACATTTGTTTTGTTTGATGATTCAGATTGACTTAGATTCCATTAAATTCGGCATATTTATGTAGCGCCAAATCACAACACATGTAATCTCAATGCACATCTCAAAAAGGAAAGTTTTAAAAGTAGACAGGGTGTTTGCCTCATGGACTAAAACTGGTAGTTGGTTCCACAGGAGAGGAGCCCGATAACTAAAAGATCCGCCTCCCATTCTACTTTTAGGAATTGTAGGAACCACTAGTAAACCTGCAGTGAGAGCGAAGTGCTCTGCTAGGAACATAAGGCACAATTAGATCTCTGATTTAAGACGGAGCCATTGGCCATTTAAGGCTTTATATGTGAGAAGGAGGATTTTAAATTCCATCTTGATTTAAAAGGATGCCAATGAATAGAAGCTAAGATAGGAGAGATATGAGCTCTCTTTTTTATTTTAGTGCAGCATTTTGGATCAGCTGAAGGCTTTCAACTACAATTTGTGGACTTCCTGATAGCAAAGAATTGCAATGTGTCCAGCTTTGAAGTAGCAAATGCATTGACCAGTTTCTCACTATCACCCCTGGTTAAGATATTTCTATTTTTTTCAATATTACGTTGATGAAAGGACGAGATAACGCCAAGATTTTTTACTTTATTGTCTGAGATCAATTTAATCTCATCCAAATAAAGTGACCAACTAATCAGCTTCTTTTTCAAAGACCGGTCCAAAGACAACAATTTTCATCCAGGTATCCAGGTTTTTTGTCTTCAAGACATGCCTCTGGTCTGTGTAAAGGATTAGTTTTATCAGGATTTATAGAAAGATATAGCTGATAATTATCAGCATACTACTACTCAAGAATGGGAGATGGGATGGATGGTTCAACAGAGCTATAGCTCTGGATGAGTTTGGGAACTATATTAAAAAGTGACCTAGGTTTATTCTTATTCTCCTTTATTAATGAGGAGAAATATGCTCCTCTTGCCTTCTGAAGGGTCATTTTATATAGCAGTAAACTGTTTTTCCAGACTAGTTAGAATTCCTGTAGGCATGTATAGTGCTATTTTCTCTTATGTTTCCTAGCATTTAAAATGTCTGAGCTCTGCATTAAACCTGGGAACCAGCTTTCTATTTTTAATTTCTATCTCTTCCAAAGGGACTGCTTTGTCTAAGGAAGTACAGAGAAAATAGCAACACTAAAATCATCAACCTCTAAAGGGGAATAAACCCAATGTTTAACCTCTGCAGCACTGTTCAGCAACACAGAGGAGAGGGGGAAAAAATCATTCTTTAAAATTTATAATTGCATTATCTGATGATACCTTCTACAGTGAAAGCTTCTTTTGGGGGAGGAAAACTCTGCTAAAGCAACGGCGTAGGTTTGATTTCAACTTTGGTAGAGACACTGTTGGTCTTCAGTTTTATTGGTCTGATGTCATTGGTCCTATGAAAAAAACATGCATTTTTTTATGATTAATGTAAGCATCAGGACACATTTTTTTTAAAGAGTACATCAGCATTTCTTGATATATTAATACAAATCTTATAAGCCCTACACACACTAGATGCTGTTTATCAATGTTTAAAGCATCACTGGCTCTGATGAATGTGGAATTAGGACTTTTTTCCACTTGGAAAAGGTTTGCATTTAAACTTACCAGCGACTATATTTGGTTAAATATGTGTCTATTTAACCAAATATAGTCTAAATATGTCTGTTATATGTGGATTTATCCTGTGTTTTCTTTTGAAGATCTAGAATTGTGCAGAGGTAAACCCCACTCTTATTTTTTTTATCTGATATGCTGTCTCTGTATCATGCAAAATAATACATTAAAGGGACGCAAATAAATATATTGTATTTACATGTGCACTGGAATTATAGGAACTGACACTGAGCATTTAAAATATTAACTTTACGATACAAGTTGTTCATACGGGCTGTAGTTAATCTGTGTAGCCCATTTCATGTATTTTAACTAGGGCTGAAACAATTAATCATATTAATCGACTATTTAAATAATCAACTACGGTAATTTAGTAATTGATTAATCATTAACTGGAGTATAGGGCCACTAAAATGTGCCTTTAGCCGACAGAGCGACCCACTTAGACCAGGAATTATACCAAGATTGTAAAAAATATGTAAACATTTTGCATTGAAGATTAAAAAAAAGTATTTGTCTGTCAATATTCTCCATCCAGAACTCCTCAAGAGGAAATGTTTCTGTTTCACCTGGTTTCATTTCGTAAAAAAAATTGTCTTGTAAAATATTTGCTTATTTGAAATATTCCAAAGATTAATCGATTTGCAAAATAATCATTGGTTACAGCCCTAATTTTATGTTAACATTCCAAAGACATTTCTTCCATAATGCAGCACTGAAGGGCAGCTGCTTCACCTTAAGCCTGCCCTGCATCAATATATCTGTGTTTCCTACAATCCTATAATGTTTCTATTATACAATTGTGTTTTTAAGAGTAAAGGATTAAATATAACACAGCCTTTTATCATCATCCTATATTGCCTACTTTCTGACTGTTTAAATAGCTCCTTATGTCTATTTTCTTTTTTATTGGCATCATCTACAAACACAACACTACACACACAACAGTTTAATCCAATATAAAATCACTTTTAACAATTGTAAAAGACAATATAACACTTTCACTGTTATTTATCAGGCTCCTCTCCAGTGGAACCAACTACCAGTTTTAGTCCGTGAGCCAGACACCCTGTATACTTTTAAGGGTAGGCTTAAAACTTTCCTTTTTGATAAAGCTTATAGTTAGAGTGGCCCAGGTTATCCTGAGCTTTCTCTATGCCTCTATAGGCTTAGACTGCTGGAGGACATAGGGACCCCTTTCTCATCATTCTGCTTCTATCCATCTCTATTCTCCCACTTTGTTAGTTTATTCTCTAACGCTATGCTCTCTCTGGGCAAGACACTTCACCTGCATTGTCTACTGATGGTGGTCAGAGGGCGCGGTGGCGTCATTGTATTGGCAGCCTCGCTTCTGTCAGTGAGCCCCAGGGCAGCTGTGGCTGCAATGTAGTTTGCCACCATCATTGTGTGTGTGTGTACGTGAATGGGTGAATGACTGACTGTAGTGTAAAGTACTTTGGTCAAGTCTCCTGACTTGAAAAAACGCTATATAAGTACAGGCCATTTACCATTTACCACAGTGGCTTCATCTGGTCTGTTCCTGTTTGGCTGTGACATCAACCTGGAGAGAAATATCAGCTGTGCAGCTGCCATCAACACCTTTGTTTATAGATGTTTGAGATCAGACTGTTTTTAAGTGCAGCCTTGCTTCTCTGATTATGACTGGCTGGATGTGCTCTTTTCATCCTTTAACATTGGAGCTGGCTTGGAGCTCGTCTGCCTGGCTGTGTGTTTCCTGGACGGAGCCGCCTGTGGAGCTGGTTTACAGTTGCCTTGGTATCTCTGCTTCTTTCTGTGTGTCTGCTTCTGTTTGCTGGAACCCCAGTCGACCTCAGCAGATGGACACTCTCACTGAGTCTGGTTCTGCTGGAGGTTTCTTCCTGTTAAAGTAGAGTTTTTCCTCTCCACTGTCACTACAAGCATGCTTAGTGTGAGGGATTGCCTTCGAGTCAATAAGTCAATGCAATCAACTGGTTTTCCTTAGATAGAAAACTTTGAATCAATTTGACTCTATGATCTGTTTGAATTGCAAAGTGCCTTGAGATTATATGTGTTGTGAATTGGAGCTATATAAATAAATTGATTTGATTTTACTCAGCAGCGGTCCCACTAAAGGACTCTGAATCAGCAGTGGGCTCACTAAAGGGCTCTGGCTCATGGACTGGTCCACTAAAAAGGCTCTAGGTCAGGAAAAGCTGTCTGACAGGGACATTCTGGCTGTGGAACGGCTGGCTGAGAGGGAACTACAGGTTCTACAGCCAAGGACTTTCTGGGAGCTGAATGAGTTGTCGGTAAAGGAGAAAAGTCCTCACTTTCCCCTTAGAACAATCCAAAAAGTGCTTATTATTTTATTTTGGGGGGATCTGAAAAGAGAGTGGGGGCAAATTAACTGTTTAACAGTCCTGAGATGCGGTGATAGAGCCATGAAGATGATGAGGAGATGAGGAGAACGCGAGAATCTTACCTCAATCTGCATAGGAGCAATGGGGACATCAGACTGATCTGTCAGAGAGGAAGTAGTGGCGTCAGACTGACACATCAGGGAGGTGTTGGAGCTATTTATTATACTGAGGTTAAAGAATTCCTTTGCAGGTGTCAGCAAGTGAACAGAGGATCAATGGAACAGCAGCAGTGAAAACTAAACAGAAGCAAAAAGTCAAGAGTGGCAGATCATAACAGGATAATTGGGCACAATTAGATCATTAGATGGAAATGTCAGTGAAAAATGTATGCTTCAAAAATGCTTTGTGGCCATCAAAATGCTACAGTGTGATTTTATAGGTGAAATTGTTGCAGTGTTTTCCAAAGGATTTTAGGAGACTGTGGTGGTAGAGTCTCTGACCCTCGGGGTTTTTCATGTGTGCACATTT